CCTTTTTAGATTAGCTTTTGACTAGTATTTGTTATTCCATTTTATACATAACACTATTTATATTCTATGTCATTTAGACACATTTTATTATAGTTGTATTATTTATTATTATTAATATGCATTGTGATAGTTTCCTTTCAGTCTCACATTTTAATGTTTTTTACTATTTTGTATTGTTTTTAGTATCCCCAGTCCTCTGTAGGAGCCCTCTGCCCTGGGAGCGGTGGTCGGCTGTGGTTGTGGCAGTGGGGGTCAGACTCTTGGACCTGGTGGGGGCCTGGAGCCTCAGTTCAGTGTCTCCTCTGGGTCCTGTGTCGTCCCCTGTGGCTACGGGCGGCTCTCTGCTCCTGGTGCAGACGGCTCCTTGGATGGCGCTTCTTCAGCTGGTTGCATCTGAACCCTGCCAAGTCTCTCTTCATGGTTTTACTGTTTTACTGATGTGTGTGTGCATCTGCTCGTGTGCGCTTTTTAAATAATATACTGTATGTGGTTTTGGGTGGGTCTGTTGGGTGGTCGGGAGGAGGGGTCATGGACCGGCAGAATTGTTTTTAACCAAACTGTAAAGCACTTTGTATTGCATCTTCTGTATAATGAGCGCTTTATAAATAAAATGTGATTGATTGATAATGTTGATCAAAAGCATTGGGATTTTGTGTGCTGCTACACACAGCCCAAATCTTGCTTCTCTGGTGCTCTGATGAAGATGGTCTAATGAACGGCGCCTGTTCTCTCAGCAGATCGCTAAACTCAGACTGCAATTGCACCGGAGCAAACAGGTCAACCGGGGACATGGCGCCCCTTCTGGACAAACACAGGTGAGACACCATCATTACATCTATGTCTCCTCTGTTCTACTCTGTGCTTCGGATGAGATTTACAGGATTAAAGTGTGGGAGAAACTGGTTATTATAAGACGTTTTACTTCAGTTTTGTCATATTGTAAAGATGGGCAATACTATATACTGCTAGCTCATTGAAGTCCAATAGGGCAGTGCTCATAGTGAAATTTGGCTCCAACTCTCTCTAGCTACTATTGACTTATATGTAAAAGTAAATCCTCTGGCTCAGTAACGTTTGTCACACTCGGCTTGCGTTTTAGGTCTTTTTAAATCCAGAGCCATATAAGGCAACACCCATTCCCCTGCACAAAGCCAACACATAGGGAAGAAATAGCCATAATAAGGAAATTGGTTCAAGCTAGATTATAAATAGCAACTGGTCAATTATTTTTTCCCTACATGTGCGTCTGGGTCTGCTATCAGTGTCGGCAGTTACCTTTGGTTGTATCCCATCCGACCAATCAGCGAGCGGGGTAGGCGGGTGTTGTTTGTAGGTGTCGTGATATCAAGAGTTTGTGACATGTGATAATAAAGTAATCCGTTCTTGCTTGGCTCCCAAATAACAAGAAATCGAAACCGAATTAAGATAAATGTTTAGCAGATTTCATTTTTGGCAAAGCTGTTGTGGCTCTACTCCCCACAAGCTCTGTTAGTGACAAAGGAGATGCACGACTAAATGCTAATTGCTATCGACTTTCTCTGGCGCGTTACATCCGTACACTGTAAACATTGTATGGATTTGGCAATATAGGTGTTTCACTCTCGCTAACTCTCAACATCTGATGTTGAGAGTTAGCGAGAGTGAAACTCCTATATTGCAAATTAAAAGTTTACTGTGACGTATGTAACGCGCCAGAGAAAGTCGATAGCAATTAGCATTTAGTCGTGCATCTCCTTTGTCACTAACAGAGCTTGTGGGGAGTAGAGCCACAACAGCTTTGCCAAAAATGAAATCTGCTAAACATTTATCTTAATTCGGTTTCGATTTCTTGTTATTTGGGAGCCAAGCAAGAACGGATTACTTTATTATCACATGTCACAAACTCTTGATATCACGACACCTACAAACAACACCCGCCTACCCCGCTCGCTGATTGGTCGGATGGGATACAACCAAAGGTAACTGCCGACACTGATAGCAGACCCAGACGCACATGTAGGGAAAAAATAATTGACCAGTTGCTATTTATAATCTAGCTTGAACCAATTTCCTTATTATGGCTATTTCTTCCCTATGTGTTGGCTTTGTGCAGGGGAATGGGTGTTGCCTTATATGGCTCTGGATTTAAAAAGACCTAAAACGCAAGCCGAGTGTGACAAACGTTACTGAGCCAGAGGATTTACTTTTACATATAAGTCAAATAGTAGCTAGAGAGAGTTGGAGCCAAATTTCACTATGAGCACTGCCCTATTGGACTTCAATGAGCTAGCAGTATATAGTATTGCCCATCTTTACAATATGACAAAACTGAAGTAAAACGTCTTATAATAACCAGTTTCTCCCACACTTTAATCCTGTAAATCTCATCCGAAGCACAGAGTAGAACAGAGGAGACATAGATGTAATGATGGTGTCTCACCTGTGTTTGTCCAGAAGGGGCGCCATGTCCCCGGTTGACCTGTTTGCTCCGGTGCAATTGCAGTCTGAGTTTAGCGATCTGCTGAGAGAACAGGCGCCGTTCATTAGACCATCTTCATCAGAGCACCAGAGAAGCAAGATTTGGGCTGTGTGTAGCAGCACACAAAATCCCAATGCTTTTGATCAACATTATCAATCAATCACATTTTATTTATAAAGCGCTCATTATACAGAAGATGCAATACAAAGTGCTTTACAGTTTGGTTAAAAACAATTCTGCCGGTCCATGACCCCTCCTCCCGACCACCCAACAGACCCACCCAAAACCACATACAGTATATTATTTAAAAAGCGCACACGAGCAGATGCACACACACATCAGTAAAACAGTAAAACCATGAAGAGAGACTTGGCAGGGTTCAGATGCAACCAGCTGAAGAAGCGCCATCCAAGGAGCCGTCTGCACCAGGAGCAGAGAGCCGCCCGTAGCCACAGGGGACGACACAGGACCCAGAGGAGACACTGAACTGAGGCTCCAGGCCCCCACCAGGTCCAAGAGTCTGACCCCCACTGCCACAACCACAGCCGACCACCGCTCCCAGGGCAGAGGGCTCCTACAGAGGACTGGGGATACTAAAAACAATACAAAATAGTAAAAAACATTAAAATGTGAGACTGAAAGGAAACTATCACAATGCATATTAATAATAATAAATAATACAACTATAATAAAATGTGTCTAAATGACATAGAATATAAATAGTGTTATGTATAAAATGGAATAACAAATACTAGTCAAAAGCTAATCTAAAAAGGTGTGCTTCGATGGGGCTTTAATTAAGTATAACTTTGTTTAGAGAAAGAGAGAGAAAAGTTTTCTTCTGAATCAAATAAAGGTAACTGTCATGTTACCTTTATTGTCAAGACTAGTTATATGATGTAGTTGGAGTATACACAGCAGATGAGAAGCACACTGTAAAAAGTAGGTGTCCCGATCCAATCTCGAGATCAGGTCGATATTTCATTGTTTTTGACTGATCGGGAATCGGCTAATGGTGCTTTCAGACCGGATCATGCGTTGCGTCACAATTCAAATCAAACAGATTTAATAACAGCCATTGGTTGACATCATACATTTCGGACTTCTTTGAAATGTCCCTCATCCCTGTAACAAACAATATGGTGCAATGTCCGTCTCCATCACTCTGTAGTGACATTAATTTCAATGTAGATCATTGCACTTATTATAATTGTTGAAACTGCATATATCCTGAGCATCTACAGTATGCGGAAGCACATACTACAGATATATTGTATGTAAGTAGGGTTAGTAAGTAAGTAAGTAGGGTTAGTAAGTAAGTAAGTAAGTAAGTAGGGTTAGTAAGTAAGTAAGTAAGTAAGTGGGTAGGTAAGTAAGTAAGTAAGTGGGTAGGTAAGTAAGAAAGTAAGTAAGTAAGTGGGTAGGTAAGTAAGTAAGTAAGTGGGTAGGTAAGTAAGTAAGTAAGTGGGTAGGTAAGTAAGTAAGTAAGTAGGGTTAGTAAGTAAGTAAGTAAGTAAGTAGGGTTAGTAAGTAAGTAAGTAAGTAAGTGGGTAGGTAAGTAAGTAAGTAAGTGGGTAGGTAAGTAAGAAAGTAAGTAAGTAAGTAAGTAAGTGGGTAGGTAAGTAAGTAAGTAAGTGGGTAGGTAAGTAAGTAAGTAAGTGGGTAGGTAAGTAAGTAAGTAAGTAGGGTTAGTAAGTAAGTAAGTAAGTAAGTGGGTAGGTAAGTAAGTAAGTAAGTGGGTAGGTAAGTAAGTAAGTAAGTGGGTAAGTAAGTGGGTAGGTAAGTAAGTAAGTGGGTAGGTAAGTAAGTAAGTGGGTAGGTAGGTAAGTAAGTAAGTAAGTGGGTAGGTAAGTAAGTAAGTAAGTAGGGTTGGTAAGTAAGTAAGTAAGTAGGGTTAGTAAGTAAGTAAGTAAGTAGGGTTAGTAAGTAAGTAAGTAAGTGGGTAGGTAAGTAAGTAAGTAAGTGGGTAAGTAAGTGGGTAGGTAAGTAAGTAAGTAAGTGGGTAGGTAAGTAAGTAAGTAAGTGGGTAGGTAAGTAAGTAAGTAAGTAGGGTTAGTAAGTAAGTAAGTAAGTAGGGTTAGTAAGTAAGTAAGTAGGTAAGTAAGTAAGTAAGTAAGTAAGTGGGTAAGTAAGTGGGTAAGTAAGTGGGTAAGTAAGTGGGTAGGTAAGTAAGTAAGTGGGTAGGTAAGTAAGTAAGTAATCGGGTAGGTAAGTAAGTGGGTAGGTAAGTAAGTAAGTAAGTAGGGTTGGTAAGTAAGTAAGTAAGTAGGGTTAGTAAGTAAGTAAGTAAGTAGGGTTAGTAAGTAAGTAAGTAAGTGGGTAGGTAAGTAAGTGGGTAAGTAAGTGGGTAAGTAAGTGGGTAGGTAAGTAAGTAAGTAAGTGGGTAGGTAAGTAAGTAAGTAAGTAGGGTTGGTAAGTAAGTAAGTAAGTAGGGTTAGTAAGTAAGTAAGTAGGGTTAGTAAGTAAGTAAGTAAGTAGGGTTAGTAAGTAAGTAAGTAGGTAAGTAAGTAAGTAAGTAAGTAAGTGGGTAAGTAAGTGGGTAAGTAAGTGGGTAGGTAAGTAAGTAAGTAAGTGGGTAGGTAAGTAAGTAAGTAAGTGGGTAGGTAAGTAAGAAAGTAAGTAAGTAAGTAAGTAAGTGGGTAGGTAAGTAAGTAAGTAAGTGGGTAGGTAAGTAAGTAAGTAAGTAGGGTTAGTAAGTAAGTAAGTAAGTAAGTAAGTGGGTAAGTAAGTGGGTAAGTAAGTGGGTAGGTAAGTAAGTAAGTAAGTGGGTAGGTAAGTAAGTAAGTAAGTGGGTAGGTAAGTAAGAAAGTAAGTAAGTAAGTAAGTAAGTGGGTAGGTAAGTAAGTAAGTAAGTGGGTAGGTAAGTAAGTAAGTAAGTAGGGTTAGTAAGTAAGTAAGTAAGTAAGTAGGGTTAGTAAGTAAGTAAGTAAGTAAGTGGGTAGGTAAGTAAGTAAGTAAGTGGGTAGGTAAGTAAAGAAGTAAGTGTAGGTAAGTAAGAAGTAGGTAAGTAAGTAAGTAAGTGGGTAGGTAAGTAAGTAAGTAAGTGGGTAGGTAAGTAAGTAAGTAAGTGGGTAGGTAAGTAAGTAAGTAAGTAGGGTTAGTAAGTAAGTAAGTAAGTAAGTGGGTAGGTAAGTAAGTAAGTAAGTGGGTAGGTAAGTAAGTAAGTAAGTGGGTAAGTAAGTGGGTAGGTAAGTAAGTAAGTGGGTAGGTAAGTAAGTAAGTGGGTAGGTAGGTAAGTAAGTAAGTAAGTGGGTAGGTAAGTAAGTAAGTAAGTAGGGTTGGTAAGTAAGTAAGTAAGTAGGGTTAGTAAGTAAGTAAGTAAGTAGGGTTAGTAAGTAAGTAAGTAAGTGGGTAGGTAAGTAAGTAAGTAAGTGGGTAAGTAAGTGGGTAGGTAAGTAAGTAAGTAAGTGGGTAGGTAAGTAAGTAAGTAAGTGGGTAGGTAAGTAAGTAAGTAAGTAGGGTTAGTAAGTAAGTAAGTAAGTAGGGTTAGTAAGTAAGTAAGTAAGTAGGGTTAGTAAGTAAGTAAGTAAGTGGGTAGGTAAGTAAGTAAGTAAGTGGGTAAGTAAGTGGGTAGGTAAGTAAGTAAGTAAGTGGGTAAGTAAGTAAGTAAGTAAGTGGGTAAGTAAGTGGGTAAGTAAGTGGGTAAGTAAGTGGGTAAGTAAGTGGGTAGGTAAGTAAGTAAGTGGGTAGGTAAGTAAGTAAGTAATCGGGTAGGTAAGTAAGTGGGTAGGTAAGTAAGTAAGTAAGTAGGGTTGGTAAGTAAGTAAGTAAGTAGGGTTAGTAAGTAAGTAAGTAAGTAGGGTTAGTAAGTAAGTAAGTAAGTGGGTAGGTAAGTAAGTGGGTAAGTAAGTGGGTAAGTAAGTGGGTAGGTAAGTAAGTAAGTAAGTGGGTAGGTAAGTAAGTAAGTAAGTAGGGTTGGTAAGTAAGTAAGTAAGTAGGGTTAGTAAGTAAGTAAGTAGGGTTAGTAAGTAAGTAAGTAAGTAGGGTTAGTAAGTAAGTAAGTAGGTAAGTAAGTAAGTAAGTAAGTAAGTGGGTAAGTAAGTGGGTAAGTAAGTGGGTAAGTAAGTGGGTAGGTAAGTAAGTAAGTGGGTAGGTAAGTAAGTAAGTAAGTAGGGTTAGTAAGTAAGTAAGTAGGTAAGTAAGTAAGTAAGTAAGTGGGTAAGTAAGTGGGTAAGTAAGTGGGTAAGTAAGTGGGTAGGTAAGTAAGTAAGTGGGTAGGTAAGTAAGTAAGTAATCGGGTAGGTAAGTAAGTAAGTAAGTGGGTAGGTAAGTAAGTAAGTAAGTAGGGTTGGTAAGTAAGTAAGTAAGTAGGGTTAGTAAGTAAGTAAGTAAGTAGGGTTAGTAAGTAAGTAAGTGGGTAGGTAAGTAAGTGGGTAAGTAAGTGGGTAAGTAAGTGGGTAGGTAAGTAAGTAAGTAAGTGGGTAGGTAAGTAAGTAAGTAAGTAGGGTTGGTAAGTAAGTAAGTAAGTAGGGTTAGTAAGTAAGTAAGTAGGGTTAGTAAGTAAGTAAGTAAGTGGGTAGGTAAGTAATTAAGTAAGTGGGTAAGTAAGTGGGTAGGTAAGTAAGTAAGTGGGTAGGTAAGTAAGTAAGTGGGTAGGTAGGTAAGTAAGTAAGTAAGTGGGTAGGTAAGTAAGTAAGTAAGTAGGGTTGGTAAGTAAGTAAGTAAGTAGGGTTAGTAAGTAAGTAAGTAAGTAGGGTTAGTAAGTAAGTAAGTAAGTGGGTAGGTAAGTAAGTAAGTAAGTGGGTAAGTAAGTGGGTAGGTAAGTAAGTAAGTAAGTGGGTAGGTAAGTAAGTAAGTAAGTGGGTAGGTAAGTAAGTAAGTAAGTAGGGTTAGTAAGTAAGTAAGTAGGTAAGTAAGTAAGTAAGTAAGTAAGTGGGTAAGTAAGTGGGTAAGTAAGTGGGTAAGTAAGTGGGTAGGTAAGTAAGTAAGTAAGTGGGTAGGTAAGTAAGTAAGTAATCGGGTAGGTAAGTAAGTAAGTAAGTGGGTAGGTAAGTAAGTAAGTAAGTAGGGTTGGTAAGTAAGTAAGTAAGTAGGGTTAGTAA